TGAAATGCAAGTTCCCAAGATTCCGTTAAAACCCATTTGTACTGTTCTCATCTAGTCCTACTTTCATTTTACTTATTAAAGAGCTTTAGATCCTCTTGCTTAAATGCAGCCACAACTCTTAAAATCAGTCTATTGAACTGTAGTTGATCAGCCAGCTTTTAGTGCAAGGCCTCTCTGTGTTACGATGATGGGAGCCAAGGCATGTGGGATCAGAAATTCTTCAGAGAAAGGCGAGTCTTCAGGAACTGTGATATATTCTGCATACCTGGAACACCTTGCAGTTAAATGGAATCCTAGAAGCATCCAGTTCTTTTTTTTAATAAAGGTAAACGTAATATTTAAATACCTAAGGATGCTTTGCTAGCAATGTAGCAACAATACTACTTTCAGGAAAGATATGGCAAGGATACCGTCAGGCACTGCAACATATCAGGATCAGATACATTTTTATTCGTTTGGGTTTTTAAAGCATTTAATTTAACTGTCACAAATCATTTAATCAGATACATAAAAATCGGATAGATACATAAAAAAATTTAAAATATGTCACAAAACTAGTAATAAGGATGCCATGGGGAAGCTTTATGAGGAATACATTCAGATGATTCAGTTAGCAACTCTATTCTACTGAAAGGATCACTTCCTCAGATGTTATCCAAGTACTCAGCCCTTACTACAAATAGTACTAAAATCTCTTGTTTTCTTTAATAAATTTATCACGGCACTCCTGAAAGATAGTGATATACAACTATTCCCATCCTGCTGATGGGAACTGAGGCACTGAGGACTAAGTAATTTAAATAGGAAATCTGTTCAAGATCACCAGAGTTTTAAAATTATGGTCCAAATACAAAACTTTCTATATCATAACATTATCTAGTTTTCTTAACAAAAGCCCTCTACCATTCCCATCTGACCATCATTAATGTAGTCTCCTTTAAGTTGCATATAAAGACATGGAACTGGAAAAAAGTGACAGCCTAACAAACACACAAAGAAGACACTGAAAATTAAAACCTATAAATTGTGAGCCCTTGATGTGATTTATATAAAACCTGAGTCTCTGATAAACTTGCTACCCCTCCATGGCTGGACAGAGACAGAGAGCTCAGCTGCTTGCTTACCATGCACGCTTGGCTCAGTCTGTATTCCATCGTGAGTACGTCTTGTAAACTCATGGAAGCTCCTTCTCTGAGCTGTCTGAGAGTCATCTTCAAGGATGTAGGTGACATCTTATTAATAGTCTGGGGAAGATATTAACAGTTATTTTTGTTCTCTTCAACCTAGACACATTTGCAAGTCTGTCTTTTTTGTATTTTAAACTTTGTGAAGTAAATGATGGCACTCTTCTCCTTGAGCTTGCTTATGTGATACCTATTCCTCCTGCTCCCTCCTGCCGTGCTGTCATACTAAATGAACTTACTTGCATAAACTTTTATCAGCAAGATCTCTAGGATGCATGCCATCACTTGTGAAAAGCCTAGAATTCCTAAAGCCACATAATTTATGATCAAATTACTACTAGTCAGAGAATCTAATGCAGCTTGAAAGCAATTTCCAAACAGATTCTTTTGAGAAGTGAAGGCGAGTGTTACAAGCAATTATACTCCATTTTTTAGTATCACATATATAGTTTGAATTGCTCTTAGATGTTACTCATATTGTACCTGATATTAGTATTGTACAGCAGTTATGTTTTATTTAGTACAATAGACTATTAAGGTAATAATAGTAAGGTTAGCCACAAAGTTTAAGTATGATCACCTGCAAAGACTAGACAATATACAAAGAAGAAAACTGTGGAAGAAAAAGAAAAAAAAAACAAAAACGAAAATAAATCAAACATAAATGTGTATTTGTCCAGGCTTCTTGTCTGGGATCAACAGATACTGCAGTAATTGCTCTGCTGATAGGAATCCTGGAGGTCTTGCCTTCCTCTTTTGACAGAGCTACAGGCTATAAATATTATGCAACAGACAGGATCTGTTCAAGGCACACAAACAAATGCTGTAAATCTGGCTCTCATGACTATCCTTCAATTAACAGCATGCCAGTAAACAGTAGGGGGAGGTGGGGGGAAAGACAAAAACCTAGTTAAGAAAACAGAACTGAGCTTTAAAGCTTTCAGGGTTGTAGGGGAAAGGAACTAAATCTTATTGTTGCTGATCTTTGTTTTCTTACTCAAAATAAGATTCTTCTTGCCCTGTAAACCCAACTAAAAGCTCTGTATTATTCACAGTACAATAGACATTTCCTGTTAATTAGGACATTTTTATCACTACTGAAAAGTGGCAGATGGTAAGATTTGCCTCTTTACATTATTTTCATTGCAGACATTAGACTCCTTACCCGCAGACTGAAATGGCAGGTTTCCAGTCATCAACATTAACATTTTTTCTGGCTCCCAATTACTCTTCATCCCTCTCCAGACACCAGCTGAAGCAGCAGTGACCCATTTTGCCTAGTTAAGCTGGAAAACATACAATTGCTATACAAGCAGGAGGCTGTGCAATTGTACCTTAAAAGCACTATTTCAGTCATTCTGTTTTTTGCACGTTGACCATTTCACTTGAGAGAGAAGCTGGTTTAGAAAGATCTAATGCTGGCTCAAACTGTCAACTTTTCCTGAGTTCTGGTAAAGCCCTCTAACACCAAGCTGCCTCTCAGCAAATAAAGAAACCAGCTACACCTCTAATCAAATCACTATGTAGGTCTTAGATGGACAGCAACTCTTAACTGGACCCCTTTTTTCCCCGTAATCTGCTCTTGCTGGCTTTACCTTTGAACTGGACCTTTTCTCCCTTGAGTTTCACGTTCTGTCATCTAGATTAGAAAGCCTTTGCTCATACCAGGTTAAATAGTATGCACAGTGTAACCAGATGGTTCCATAGGTGAAATGGTAGTGGCAAGTTCTTTCTGGTCAAAGAAAGCATTGAAATGGGGAAGATCTGAAAACAGCATTTAAATAGTCTACTGCATCCAGGAGCTGCCTTATCTTGGCATATCAATGAGGTTGAAGGTGGAGGAGGCACTGCCATAAATCAAGCTGAAGGAAGAGGAACAAGGAAAGAAAATGGGTAGGTGTAATTGCAGAAATATGAGTCATCAGTGTATCATCTATAAATAAATTCTCTGTACAAAGAGCAGGGGATCAGTGCTAGGGAACAAGCCTGAAAACGAAATAGGATAGGCTGAAGTGAGGAGTACTAAAATGCAAAGAAGTCTTCATAGAAGTATTTGACATCTATTCCAATATCTGAGACATCTTGATTTCAACATAATGATCCTGAAAGTTACAAGCTGAATTTGCAATAGACCTGAATTCCAATAAGATACTATTAGAAGGTGGCTGATTTAAATGGTGCTGACTCAGTGGAGTCCCTTACAAGAATAACAGCTGGAACAGTGGCTGCATCTTTTGTCTCCAAGGCCCATTAAAGCTTCTGACCTGAGCTGCTGTGGGTCCTTGAGGGAGGCTTTCTTTAACTTGAAAACAAACTAAAACCTCCCAGAGGTCCAGCGTATCACTTCTCTTGCAATAGCTGAAGATACCCATCACTTACTTTCTGAGATACCAAAGCATTTGTTCATCTGCACTAGACAATGGTTCTGGATGAGCTTTGACAAAATATGAGTATCTAGCCAAAGCATCACAGGAAAGCTGCTTAAGGACAGATATATCACCCTCTTACTGGTCCGTTTCAGAATGCTGCTTTACTTGAATTCAACATTACCTACCAAGATACTATCCAGCATCATTCCTGTAATCTATCTCACCCACTTGCTGCATACCCATTTAGAGTTTCAGGAGCTACTGTCTGCACCCCAGCCTGACCAGTAGATCTGGACCAAGTCTGCAGTCTCCTGCACGCTACACTGGAATTCATTCAGTAACAATGAAGGCTATTAAATCATGAAGTATCAGTGCTCAGAAGGTGTGCTGTCCTGCTGAAAAAAGCTATAAGAAAGCATCATGTGAAAACTATGTCAAACATCTGATGCTTTTCAGGTTTTGACCCCATGTGCTTACTTAATCCAATTAAAGTGGTACTTCTGTCACTCAAATTAAAGCTTTTTAGCTTGTGTAAATCCTGAAAACAAAGTAATGCTATAAAGTTAAAGGTTTTTAAAAATATTTTACTATCAGTTCAAAAAGTGTGCTACTACTCTAGCTTTCTACCTATTTGTAACTGGGTTCAAAATGTGACTTAGATCATGAAGCCAGTCTCGAGTAGAATTTTAAGAACTTTACATTCATCTTATTCATGCAAACCACTTTAGTACCAGCTATGTGAAAGCTTGTCAAGCAGGCATGTTTTGAAAATAAAAAGCAGAAGTACTGTAGATTGAACAGAACAGGATACCTGGGATAGCACAGCTCACAGCATACATGGATTATATCGAACTAGTAGTTCAATTTTATTAACACTAAAAGGTATCTGTACATTCAAGGTGTGGATATACCAAGGTGTAGCTCCAAATTAGGCTATTTGTATTAGAATTTCAGTTCAGGCTTATTCCATAAGCTTACTAATACACCTCATAATAAATATACAGGGAAACAAAGAAAATAAGCATGCACACTGCTGTTATTGAATCCTTTACGGTCTTTATATTTATCATTTGAATGTGCTGTTATTCCTGTACCTGGACACTAAAGTGAAACCTTGGTTTCATGAAGTGACAGGAAACTATAATCTATGGACATACTCTTGGTACTGTGATACTACTGATGAGGAAAATGACTTGCTTCACAAAAGTCAGCAAACTGCCATCAAGGACAACATCTGATCATCTCAAACTGTCATGGTTTTGCTACGTTTCCTGCTCCAAGCAGTCCTTTGAACTCTGCTCCTCCGAGCAATATGACAGCAGGCCAGTGCTCTGTCTGTAGGTGTAAAATGCTCAGCTGCCAGGGTGCAAGCTACCAGTCTTCCTCCAGCTACAATTAAGTTTAATTACAATTCTGCTTCCCTAATAAAACAAAACCTCCAGTTTAACTGGCAAGAATTTCCTGGAGAAAGCCAGAATTACACCTGAATCCCTTTTTAACTTTCTTCCCCCACAAATGTATTTTCCTTCCTTGGTTTTGTGGATCTTTCACAGAAGAAATTAAGTATCTGATCCTACAAGCTTACTTAATCCTAGTGCTTAGCACAGAATGTGTGCCATTACAGACCTGTCTCAAACTTATGTACTTGTTCACACTAAAAAGGCTTGCACCTGCTAAAAAATGTGGTTTGTTTGGTTGGGGTGTTTTTCACAGATTTCTGTATGGACAGAAGCAACTCAAATTAACAAAGTCTCATCTCTTGAACAGAAAAGACAACAGACAAATTGTTGAGGAACTTCTGTCAACTCCAAGGAGAGTCATTCATTTACGAATCATATGAAACAAAAAAGCTGCTATAAAGTCCTATTAAAGACATGAAATAAGAAAACTGAAGAAGCACCAAAAGAGCTATTTTCTTTTGTACAGGAATTAAAAAAAAAATCAGTTACACAAAATTGTATGTTGGAAATGGATGAAATAGTTTTAAGCTCTAAACTAAAAATATGAAACAAATGTGCCCCCCTAAACAACAAGGAAAAAGAACATTTCAGGTTTTCTTTAATAGGGGAGATCTGAGTTATGAGGTTGCAGATGGAAGCAAGTCGGGCAGGTTTGGGTAACTAGAGCAAAGGTGGCAGAACAAACTGTCTAGCTAACATATTTCAGTAACAAAGTGTTTCCAAACTCCTTGCATCTTTTGGAGTAGAAACTGTATTCTGAACAAAGCACCCTTTAAAGGCTATACGCTATTTTAAAAAGTTCCGCTAGATCTGATTATGTTTTAAAGTGCCATAAAATTGTACGAAATTAACTTAGGAAAAGGTGTAATATCAATGTAATATCCCTGCAGAATTATATTAAACTTCATAAAATGTCCAAATAAAATACTGCCTTGTAACTCACTACTATCAAGAAATAAGAGCCAAAAGTAACTGCTATTAACATGCTATCAAACTGTCTCAAAAGACCTTAATGTAACTACTTTCCCTGCCATCTATAACATAGGGGAAGAAGTGAAGAACTGAATCATACAGCCTATATAGTTTTGGGGAAAATCATGATGGTGGCATCGGGTCTACAAACACCTAATTTATTATTCAGGCACTAGATCATCTGACTACTTTATTCAATGAAACTTGAATACAAGTGGGGGGAAAAAGATTAGCTTTCCCTTTCATTCAATTTTGCTTTTGTAATAAAAAAAGCTAAACTTCTTGCAATGTACTAGGCATTCTGGTTGGCACACAGATAATTTTAAAACATCCTTTCTCAAAAACTGAGAGTTCCAGTGACAATGTTAAATCTTTAATTAAAAACTAAAACAAAAAATGTATCTTGTGTATCTGGGACAGGATGCCTAATGTTAATGATACTACATTATAAAATTATAGTCCTTCTGCTCAAATGGAAGTCTGAAGATGATGGATGTTTCATATTATTACAAGAGCAGCATTTTTTCTGTGAGCTGTAACTGAAGTCAAAACAAAGCTCCAAGACGCTTTCACAAGGCACCCAAATACAGATACCTCAAAAGAAAAAGAGAAAATACACACATTACTTATAAATGAATATATGTTGCTTCTTGCTTTTGAGGCTGAAGTGTGTATTACGTGTGTAGTATTATGGTACATTTTTTGAGTAGTGACTTCATCCAACACTCAGAAATGCATTAAAAAGATCAAAAAAACTTTGTGATGATAAATTGCTTGCTGTTTGTCCAAATTAGATATCTGGAATGGAAGAAAAAGAACAACATTGTTCTGGCACTGTTTTATTCCAACCCTTGGCAATAACATGAGAAGCTATAAAAGGAACCTTTGTCACCAACAATCCCCTGATCGTGGGGAGGGGAAAAGGGAAGGGGAGTTTGTTGGTTTTGTTTTGGGTTTTTTTACTAGATTACAATTTTATGCAACATATGGTGGTATTTGCATTGTGTGGTTTTACAGAGGAATATTCTTGTTTGAGTAGAACTACCAACAATCCCACAGGACTATATGTGAGAACCTGAGGATCTCAGTCCAGTCTCCTACTGGTGTTACGTAGTATTAGTTATGTTAATAAGGTGACTAAAGTCAGCCCCATGATAAGAAAGTACAGAACCAGACTTAAAATCTCTAACAAAAATAACATGGAAGACATTACCTCTAGCTGCTTAATGGCAAAAGGAGAACCATCTTGCTTTAATTTTTTAACAATTTCTTCCATACTGTTTGCTGAAAAAAGACTATAAGAAAAAAAAAGTTAATAAATGAACGAACTGCTTCAGCCTTCCCTATGAAGCACTAGCAACACAGAAATTAGAAATAGAGCGTAACCAGATGATTTGGCTTTTCTTAGCAATGTGATCCCTGTCGTTCTAAGTAATTCAGTTGACAGACATTTCCTCTTCCTTTACAAATCTTTAGCATTTCATAAACCTCATTTACAAACTCTGATATTTATCCAGAAACTTTAATTACTACCATCAGTCTTACCTATATTTTTATAACACATGAAATCAATAGCTATCAGCTCCATTCTACTGGTTTGGTGTCAACATTTTTTGTCTCTAAACTTAGTTACTGCCATCCTTCTTCAAGAGTTTTAGCTGCTTATCACTCTCACTTATTTCCCCTTCCCTTTCTGATACACAGAAGTTCCAAAGAATCATATAAATGGCCTTATGCCAATGAGCAGAAATGTGCTACATAACATTTCTTGGCCAACTGAACAATTACTCTCACAAATTTCCACCCAATTTCTATAGAAAATATTCATTTTAACGTGCCATAGGGTAGTTCCTTAATATAATGGTGTATGAATCGGGCAAATATGCTCGACTATTTAATATACTGACATGTGAAATATTTAATGAGCTTCAGATAAAGCTCCCTGAAGACAAAAAAGTTTAAATTACTAACCTGAATGTGATATCTATCACCTTATCTGTGGAACACTGATACTGTTACTGAATTTAACTTCATGTTCTCCATCCAAAACAAAAAAAGAGAAGGAAGATTGCTGAATACCTGTTAATCTTGTCCATATGTTCATCAAGTACAAACTGCTTTTCTTGATCAACTTTGCTCTATTTAAAAAGCAAATACATATTTTACTTGATTACTTTAGACTGAAAAGTTTATCAGTATTAAAACATTTCAATGACTTGTGTTACAGAAATATCATAAATGAACATTTAATATTCACAAGACACTGACATTTTTAATGAATTACAATTTCATGGTGTGTATAAAGGAACTTGTCACTTGATCTTGTAAATGTTAAAGATGTCACCTCATAATGCAGTGCTTGCTCCGAGCTGCTGTGTATGCATATTTGGGTAGTTATCTTGTACACAAGTAATCGTGGTTATTCTATCAAGACACTTCTATCAAATACACTAAGAAAGCCAGTGTAGGTAAATCTACTCAAAAACATGGGAATATTTAAAAAAAAAGTTTTTCTTAAAAAATACACAGGCATGTATACATGTATTTTAAAAAAACAACAATAAAAAATTGATTTCCTTATTTTTTATCGCTCATTTTGCAAAATTTTATTTAGACAACTAAAGAGTGTGAATGATCTGTTGGTCTTATGTGGAAAGGCTGTCAAATGTTTCCTATCTTCTGGCATTAAGGGGTTTAGGACATAAGCAGAAGTTTCAGTAACAGCAGCTGAAGCTGTGAAAGGTTCCCTGTCATTTCAGCTTTAACTGAAAATACACAGCTTCCTTTTCCATTCTGTGTCATCTTGTAAAGCAGTATAGTGCAAGATATAATCACTCTTCTTTCATAGCTTTCTCTATTGTAAAAGTAATCAGTACTACTATGTAAATTAGCTTATCCCATTTATTTTTGTAATTAATCTTTATATATAAACTTGGCAATTCCAAACCAGAAACAAGAGTAGACACTGCTCAGTTTAAAGCCAAACAATGGGGGAGTAATACTCAGATTGACTGAATACACTGAATTTTGATCTGAATCCAGAAGTTTCCTTATTTTTTTTTTGAAATAAAATTACAATACACATCAAAACAGCTAAAATAGCCATGAATAAACTGATTGTAAAGGCCAAATCTGTTATTTTCATAGCCATTGTTACATGGGGCTAATACAAATACTAATTATGTATTATCAATACAGTTACATTCACTTCCAAAATCACAACACAGAACTATGGGTTTGTCCACTGGGAAAACAGCACATTCCTCCCCCTGAAAATATTGCTTTAAGACCTCTTTTTCCTACAATGTATCTGCACTCTGCTAATACCTATGCTATTGATAACTGCTATGCTTATTCAGTGTCTTTCAATTACCTCAAGGGTGCAAACACGCTAAATATTTGAGAAATTAAAGGAACAACTCGAGCCTTTAAATTCAGGTTTCAAATCTGGACTGCAGATGGTCTGCATCAAAATAATGCTAAAATTTACATTAAATGTGTCAAGCTGGCAAAATATTTCTTCAGGTCGATAAAGGGAAAGTTTCTGGGATGTAAATACAACATCTACTTCCAAGTGAGCAGTGTAGCATTTAATAACTGACACTATAACTTCTGCAGCCTCTGGACTACACCAGTAGTTCTGTCCCTGTTGTTCGGGTTTGTCAGAATTGTTGAATTTCAGGCTAACTCCCCAGCTTATACTTGTCATCATGTCCCACTCCTAGGCTATCTATTTTGCCTTCTGCAAAATGTGCTAGAAATCCAAGAATAACAGGGAAAAAAATAAGCAGCAATGTATTTTCTGCATCATCATGCTACTGGCTGCAAACTTGCACACATAGGAGAGCAAGCTGATCACAATGGGAATTTGAGGAGTATCCAAAATGAATAAAAAGTGAAGAAAGACTTTTAAATTTTAATTTTGACCACTGTAGGCATTAATGCTTCAAATTAGTAATTTATACACTGCAAAGAGTTTGGAAACCCACCATTTTTTAACTATAAAATGATCAGTAGCATGCATAAAAAGATTTTGTATTTACATGTATTTCCCGCATGATGTACTTGTCTCTAAATTGGAGAAACATGGATGTGATGGATAGACCACTCAGTAGATCAGGAATTGGCTGGATGGTCAAACTCAAAGAGTCATGGTCAACTGCTTGATGTCTGAGTGGAGACCAGTGATGAGTGGCATCGCTCAAGGGCTGGTATTGGGACAGCTGCTGTTTAACATCTTTGTTGGCAACATAGTCAGTGGGATCGAGCACACCCTCAGCAAGTTTGCTGACAACACCAAGCTGTGTGGTGTGGTTGACACGCTGGAGGGAAGGGATGCCATCCAGAGGGACCCTGACAGATTTGAGAGGTAGGCCTGTGCAAACCTCATGAAGTCCAACAAAGCCAAGTGCAAGGTTCCTACACCTGGATCGGGGCAATCACAAGCACAGATACAGGCTGGGGGTTGAGTGGATCAAGAGCAGCCCTGCGGAGAAGGGCTTGAGGGTGCTGGTAGATGAAAGACTGAATACAAGCCAGCAACATGCACTTGCAGCCCAGAAAGCTGATCGCATCCTTGGCTGCGTCAGAAGCAGCGTGGTCAGCAGGTCAGGGGAGGTGATTCTCCCCCTCTACTCTGCCCCGGTGAGACCCCACCTGCAGTGCTGTGTCCAGCTCTGGGGCCCCCGGCACAAGGAAGACATAGACCTGCTCCAGCAGGTCCAGAGGAGGGCCACCAAGATGATCAGGCAGCCTTCCAGTACTTAAAGAGGGCCTACAGGAAAATGGGGAGGGACTCTTTATCCAGTTATCAGGGCATGTAGTGACAGGACGAGGGGTAATGGTTTCAAACTGAAAGAGGGGAGATTTAGATTAGATATTAGGAAGAAATTCTTTCCTGTGAGGGCAGTGAGTCACTGGCATAGGTTGCCCAGAGAAGCTGTGGCTGCCCCCTCCCTGGCAGTATTCAAGGCCAGGTTGGATGTGGCTTGGAGCGACCTGGTCTGGTGGAAGGTGTCCCTGCCCATGGCAGGGGGGCTGGAACTGGATGAGCTTTAAGGTCCCTTCCAAACCATTCTATGATATTTAACAATTCTGCTTGATTTCAGTAACTGATCAAATTACCTTCACATGGTAAGAGTTCAGTAAGTCTGCAATATTTTCTGTTGAAGGGGATTTCAGTGCTATCAGGTCTTTCTCTAAGGCAGGTATCTATCAAAAATAAGATTTAATTAAAAGTAAGCAAAACAAAATGTACTTCTTGGATTATTACTACTACAGTAATAGTACTATATGGTATATATGTATATAAACACACACCCCACCCCTCCAAATTTTGGACAGATCTTAAAGAGGTACTAAGGAGCCAGAGTTCACTTTTCAGTGTTGAACCATCTGGATTTAATTATGGCTGAAGTCATCAGCAAAGAACTTTGCTTCCCAAGCAGACCCCCAGTGCAGTGCTACAGCTGTAGCAGGGAGAGCCAGCCTACAGCAGTCTGAGAGGAGAGAGCAGGAGCCTGGCAACCATGCTATGCTCAAAATAGTATTGAAATAGCTCCACAATGACAGTTGTGGGTCTTTACAGAGAAGGGAAAGAAACTCATTGTTTCTCCTTCACTTATGTCCATGCAAGTTACTACAACATGACTCTGACTTTATCAAATATGTTAATTTTTACACTTTCTTAGAGCCACTGTAAGAAACCAATAGGTATCTGTAAAGGAGACTGATAAAGAACACAATAATGCAGTGTTACCTAGATTAGAAACTTCGCAGTTTTAAAAATAATCTCTAATTTCAGACACTGTTATCTAAATTGTACATTTTTTCAAGTAACTTCAATTATGCTCAGTAAATCATGCCCTTCAACAGTAGAATCATGAAGGCAGCAACATTTGCTCCCTCTTCCAAGCAAAACTGTCACTAGCTGGCAAGTGTTACATGACAGCTTGAGATCCCTGTTCACAGTGCATGGCCAGCTAGTATAATTGTGCCTCTGCATACACGCAAGTTGGTAAAAGTATATTGTTGTGCTACGCGACTCAAACTTGTCATTATGGCTGTAGGCTGTGCCCTTGCTAGCACTGTTTAGCAGCTTACCTTTTCAGATTCTACAAAATGTGTAGCGATGCCAACTTTTAGTACATCTCTTCCTTTCAGCCTAAATCCTGTCAGTGCAAGGTAATAGCCAATCTTTCCTGATAGTCTTGGCAAGAAATACCCTCCACCTACATCAGGAAAAAGGCCTGTAATAAAACAAACAAAAAAATCATGCATGCAACTGATTCAAATCTGTTTCTTTTTGTCTCACTTTCATTTCCCTGACTTAGGCACGGCTGTCTTGCCCAAGTTTTTCCTTGGCTTGATCTGTCATCAAAACCCTTCATAAAAGCAAACTCTTGAACATCTTTCGAACTGTATCCTTTCCACTGGTACATAATTTACAAATGCATACCAGACAATAATGTTCATTCTATTTGCCAACAACCTGAGACATTTTTAGATGCCTGAAGAATCAAGCGTTCTCTCACAAAAAAAACAGAAGTGACACAAAGAATTATGAAATAATTTGTGAAAACTCACACTGGATGCTGCTTTTTTTCTCTGAAACCTTTTATTACGATAAAAATATCAAACAATGATGAAGTGCCTCTTGCGTAGCTAAGTTTGAACAAATTTTGGGGCTCAGAATTCATTAAGAGATTAATGATATTGCCAGGGTCTTCCTGAAGGTGGGGGCATGAGATGGTGGCCTAATACCTGGCTTTTCGACAAGGCTATGACTAACCTGCAATTTAAAAAGATTATAAAACTTCCCAGTTTAGTGACTGTCTTACATTTATATTTTTGTTTAAATCTAGAGTAGGGTAATTTTTAAAAATTCAAAACTGTGAATAAAATTTAAAAGACTTTTAAAAGTTGTAATTGAAAAATATGTAACTACTTTTATCAAAGTTTAAATATCTAAAATCATCACTTGGTCAGTATCTACCTTATTCTGTTATATTCATTAATAACCTACAAAATAAATTCAAACACTTTTTGTAACTTTTAACATACTTAAACTTAGCTATATCAATCTCAGAAATCAAAATGGGAAGAAGCAGTGTCCAGTTACTACTTCGTAATAATTGCCAATGATGCATTCACGAAACTGAAAGTCTTTTGGAGAAATTAAAGGTGTGGTGGTTTTTTTTCACTTTGACAGAATAAGTGAAGCATGAAAATAAATGAAAAAGAACACAAATGAGCAGTAAGAAACTCAGAAAACACTTGCCAAAGCAGAGATATTGTCTTGGTTTGAAAGACAGGTGTCTGTGGAGGAAGGCAGGAGCCTCCCTTGAAATGGAAAGTGCAACCCCCTTCCCTCCAAATTATTATAATTTTGAAATTAACAGGCCTTCAGGCAAAGATATGGGGAATAGGAATAACAGTTCTTTACTTATATATATATATATAACACAAGGCAGGGAAAAACAAACAACCCACTGGTTTACACTGACAGAGTCAGAAATACAACCTGACACCCTGTTAGGGTGGCAGTAGCAGTCCGATAAGATGATGGCTGCAGTCCTCCTGAAGCGATGGGTGTAGTTCTGTGGAAGCAGCAATCAGGTAAAAGAGTCTGGTCTTCCTCCGAAGGTCCAGTGGTAGGTAGGTAGCTCTTGTCCTCTGGAACTCCAGTGGGGGGGGAAAACTCGTCGGGGAATCCAGTGGAAGAAGGCTGCTAAGGTG